ACTTGCGTTTATTGTAACAATGTGGGCGATACTATCTTGGACTTTGAGAACCTGTGAAGGGTAAATTAAACTTTATTTTAAAAACACTGTTTATTTTCACTCCATATTTAGCAAAAATACACAGTCATTTAGTTAAATTCATAATCAATTTCATACGTGCTTCGTTGGGACTACAAATATGATTAAATAGGTCAAACTTTAACAAATTTAGACAGAGGCACAAATTTATAGATGATTCAACATATATTTGACAGAAATTATTAATTATTGAGTCTTTAACTTTGCACCAGAAATTTACCTTGACTTGTTTATGTACCATAAACATATATTCCTATATGTATGAATATTAAAAATATTTTATCACTACTTTTATACCTTATATCCGATCTACAATATCAGATGACAGCAAAAAAATATACTTGATTAATTCCTCTTAATATCTGATTAATATCCCGACTTTATTTTATTAGCTTGCATGACGAATATCAGGCAAACTTATTAAACTCAATGTGGCTTATTGCTGTAACTTTCCTGAGCATTGGTTATGGAGATATTGTGCCACACACATATTGTGGAAGGGTCATTGCAATTTGTGCAGGCGTACTGGTAAGTCATGGAAGCACAGAGACCAGAGTAATACATATTCTATCAACATCTTCTGATTATAATATTTTTGAACTTACTCGTCAATCTATATAAATAAAATATTGTTTCTTTGGCAAATGCAACTTTATATGAAACTTTATTTTAGGGCTCAGGATGTACAGCTCTGGTGGTAGCAGTTTTTGCACGAAAACTTGAACTTTCTAAAGCTGAAAAGCATGTTATTCACTTTATGATGGAAAATCAACTAACAAAGACTGTAAATGTTATAGTTTAAAGAAACTATTATAAAATTTATATATTTGTTCCATACTTCTAATATTAACTTTTCTTATCCTTAGGTAAAATATTACGCAGCTAATGTGCTCCGTGAAACATGGTTAATATATAAATACACAAAATTAGTAAAAAGAGTAAACCCTTCCAAAGTGCGTACTCACCAAAGAAAGTTTTTGCGGGCAATACATGGGCAAGTATAAACACTTTTGTTGAATATACACAAATATATACAAATATTCAAAAGTTATATTAAGAGGGATTCTCCAAATATATTAAATATGAATAAAGATATAAAGTAAATAATTATTTTTAATTTTTCAAGTAAACAAATTATGAAGATGTGAAGACTAAGACGGTATGGCTCTCAAAGTGGTCGCAGTCTTCTTTAACTGTATAGACATGGGTTGACCTCGTTTTCACAACTTCGCCTTGTTGCCAAGGCGACTTAGTTAGACGCAACTTGCGCAAAGTCCTATGAGAATGCACCAAGCATACGGTCTAACGCTTGGAATTATAATAGTTTATATGGCAAATGACTTCGGATAAGGTGCGTCCGACTAAGTCTTCCTAATAACAAGACCAATTTGCGAAAGTGAGGTCAACCCACCTCTAAACATATTATGGTTAATAATCAATTACATAAATCTCTTAGAAATATTAAAATACCATAAACTCTGTATAGAAATTATAGCAATTACTTCTCAAGAAAAGGTTTACATGGAGAAAAAATAGAATATTATTTAATAAGATTTAAAGTGGATTTTAAAATTTTGTTATTGCAGCATATAACATTACAATATATAATATCAACACTGGGAAGAGCTTCAATTTACGTAAAATTGAATGTGAATTGTAGATTAACTAATATTTGAAAAAGCTAAATATATAGTTAAGCTTGTAAGATAAATAGAAGGCCTAAAGTCCCTTTGCAAGAGGAGTTCTTATTTTAGGTGGTATGTAGATTCCGTTTTGTCAGTGTGCCCTTGACATCTAAAGCTAATTCATACTAGCGACAATGAAGCTACCACCAATGTTATATAAGTCTTGATTTACTGAGTAGCACAGAAAGTATGGCTTCCAAGGCTCTGCAAGGCCTAGTATTTATGCCTTAGTATGATGTCACATTAGGATTTTGCATGATTTACATATCCAATTTAAAGCTGCATTTATAATAATCTAAAAGTGGACGTCTTTCTTATTTATTTGCCACTATTCTTATTTAAACATAACAAGTTTTATCAGAATGCCATAAAACTATGCGTGCGTAAAGAATAATTAATCAACTATTGCTATATGAAATCCTTAGATGTGGGAAACGATAAAAGTTTCTTGAGAGTGCGAAAAACTACCAATTTAGATAGAATAAATTATTACCTTGCATGAGTACACATTAATGTTAACTTTATGATTTTAAAGTTAAACGGAGCCTTTGAACGCAAAGTAATAAGCGTTTGCAGTGTGTTCCCCAAAAATGATACGAATTCATTTAATAAAATTATAAAGCACACGGCTAAAATTGGACTTTGAATCATTGTTTTTAACTTGGACGATGTTCTCGCTCGCTATCAGAAAACATGTTTGCCTTAACCATACATATTACCATTATTTCTTACCTAGTCGATTAAGGAATAGCCAGTTCGCTCTCCTAAAAATACTTCTTAATATTTGATGAATTATAGTACTTTGACTTTGTGTTTGATTATTAAGGACTAACTATATCAAACCTAACCCTTTTTGGCAGTTTAATTGAATGAATCAATGAACTATGTCAATTTATAATGCTCTTTTTATTCTCATACTCTGGTAATTACATAAATTCTCCCAAAAATTAGTTTTAAATTCCTCTCCGTATTTCTCTAAATTTACTACCTGAAATATTCTTCTTCCATGCATAACCAAAATTTGTTCATGTAAATATTCAACCAACCCATAACTGCTAGGCTGTCAACGCGCGACATTTATAACATCTAAAAATTAATATGCAGTCATGTTGGATAATGTATTAACTGAACTAAGTATTATTTGCTTAATCTAATGCGCGATCAAAAATAGCATCCGCCAAGCTCTTGATAAAATCATATAATCTTGTCCTGGCAGGAGAGAGGCATAAAAACCCCGCTAAGCAAAGTTTACCCATTCCAAGGCATGCTTTATATGCTTAAAATGCAAGCAATATTCATTTGTCATCTATGCTATGATAATACTTACATATTTCTCTCTTCAATAGAATTAGTTTGTAGCATTAATTTAATTGAATAAAATTATTAATGTTACACGAAACTTTGAGAATATTTTTAAATAGTCCAGGCAGGGATAAGCAAGAAATATTGTTTCGCACAAGTTTTGTTTTTATGGATAAGATCTGTCGATGCATCGAGAATGATCTTTTACATATTTGCAATTTATACAAATTCCTTTGTAAATTATATAAAGAAAATTTTTTAATTGGTTTTAAGGCCTTTCTTATGCAAATTATGAGTCTACATTATCTGAAATTGTCCTTTTATTCTAAGATTCTAAAAATATATACAGAAATGGCTTTTTCCTGATTTCCTATTTTTGAACTGTTTATCTTTATTT